TTTTTTTTTTTTTTTTGTAAATCTCTTTGTAGAAGGTTGATTTTGTCATTTTCCTTCCAAATTTCAATCCAAATTTCATTCATTTACATAATCAACCTTGAAACATAAAAAATAATGCTAATTAAAATAATTTTAAGGTGAAATTTAATTTATTCATTATGTAATTAAAATATATATTTTGACAAAAATTTAAGTTGTGATAAAAAGAAAAGTAAAAATGTATTGTTTAACCTTGTCAACTGCATTTTTTATATATTGAATTACTAGTGCATAAGAAAAGTTTTGGATAAGAGACTCATGAGAAAGATCATGACACCTTTAAACAAAAGGCTTTGAACTTCTCAGTAATTTACTCTCATCCTCACAAAATTTCACAAACAGTTTTTGCCATTTCTTAAGATTAATGAATTCACTAGAAAAAATATATATAATTGAAACAGAGATCTTTAATTATAAAGAAAAATTATCACTAAATTCAACTGAATTAACAGTTAAAACAAAATACATGAAGATTTTTTATGCACACTTCAAATATATTATTCAAATGCTTATCAATCATATATGAAATCTTTTAATTACAAAGAAAATTTATCACTAAATTCAGCCAAATAACTTGTACTTGACAATACAAATTTAACCTTACAAAAAGTAAACAGAACTCTGCCGTTTCCGGTAAGGCATTTGTTTGCCGGCGAAATCCAGGAGCTTCACTACTCTCTTCTCCGCCCACAAATTCTCCGGTCTCGAATAACAACCGCCTTTCCTCGTTCTTGTTTCTCGGCCTGTATCCTATTTTCTCTGTTTTCTTCGGCTCCAAGATGAAGAAAGAAGAAGAGGAAAGTAAGGCCTCAAATAAAGGCAAAAGGGTAAATTAGCCCCTGTACTCTTGATTTAATAGCAAATCAACCCCCATATGTACATAAGAGTGGCGTACATTGGCACATGCCATTTTTCGTTGAGGGTGTTTTTCCAATCCGTCATAGTTTAGGTATTAAAATTATAAACATATCATTAGTGAATAAATATAGAAGATATTTTTATTAAGAGTGTTTTGATCATTTTAGTACTTCAATTATATTAAAAAAATATAATTTATATTGAAAAATGTTTGTTTAGAAAAAATTATTTTATAGTTCAAATTACAAAACATAAATATTAGAAGTTAAGTCTGATATCTAACAGTTTTAGTTGTATAATTTAATATAATATATTTTTATTTTTTTAATTTTTAAAATTTAATTTAATTTAATCTCTCTTCTTCTTCTTCTTCTTTTGGAATTCAACATAAGCAAGTAACCCATGTTATAAATTAACTTATAAACTAAAATTTTATCTTCTTAATATTATAAAGTTAAGTGTGTTCTTACTTTCTTTAATTTAGAAGTAATAATTTTATGGATAGTGATTGATATACACTTTGGTTCAACATACTATACAATATATTTATTAAAAATTATTATTTTTTAATTTAAAATTAAAGACAAACAAATTTAAAAATACAATCATGCATACAATATATAGAAATCAACTGTATCGATTATATTTATATTATATTTTTAATAATTAAATTAAAAATGTGTCAGAAAATATGTTGAATCGAAGGTGTATAGATCATTTTCCTAATTTTATAAATCTTTTAACTCTTTGGTTCTCTTAATCATTTTCCTTTGGTAAATATCTTCAAATTTTTTTGTTGCCATTGTTGTGGAGTTTTTTAATACTGGATTTCTGGAAGCAGTGGAAGAAGGTAAAGAGCATTCTTTTTGGGTGGTAGTATCTTCGTTTTCTCGCCCAAGCAGCATTTGTTGGATCGGATTGGGGATTGAAGGCAATCGTGCGTATTTCATTTTACCAAAGCATAAAAGTATTTACTGATTCAACATGGGAGACCAGGTTGTTTCAGTTTCTTTCTTTGCCTTGTCCAAGTCCAATAGGATCATGGCATTGTTCTTTTTGGGTGATGATGAGACAGATGTCCAAAATCAAACCAGATATGAGTTAGATGATGAGAGCAAGGATATAAAGCCTCAGAGCCGTGAAATTGTGATGAAAGACGCAGTGGGTGAGAAGGAGATAGGAGATCTTGATAATCTTCCTTTTGACACGTTAACCAGATTGAATTGGAAGGTGCCTAATGTTAGGTGACGATATGAGTTTTTGGGCTACCAACAAATTGTGTAGATTGGCATCTCCTTCAAGTCTAGCTTTGGAGTGCTCTGAAGGCTCTCCTCTCTTGGTTAACCTATTAGCAAAAAGGTGATACCTTTTGCAATTTCATTGATTCACTGCGTGGTGAAAAGTACTTCTTAAGCATCCTTAATAACGGATTGAAAGATGCCACAATATGTTATTCAAAGGGAGTTTGGTGTGTGATGCCAAAAGGTGAACATTCCATAATCATTTGGAATCCTCGTGTTAAGAATACCATACTGCTTCCAAACTTGGCACTAGTTAAATGCGAAGAGGTTTCTAGTTGCATCTTCACCTGACTCTTCCTATTATGTAATTATTTAACTCTTTAATTACGATGATAGTTATTTCATTGATTTTATCTTCTTAAATGGTGATAGAAAATGGACCGAATGGCGTAGTCTCTTTGCAGTACTCGACCGCTGAGAATTCAAAGTGACTAATCCCAAAATGTCAACAATCTAACATTTTATAATTGGCGTAAAGGGAAATTTAGTGGCTTAAAGAATGGATGATGAAGAGAAGGTGTTTTCTAAATCACTCGAGAACCCTTAGTGTCCTTATATTACTCATCTCGCTAAAACTTTGTATTAGAATGTGATGGGGTTCTTTTTGTGTTTGTGGCTTTCTTAGGACAATGGGTTACATTGGGATGGATTATAAGCAACAATACACTAAAAATCATTATTAACATCAAGTTTAAATATCCCATTCAACACAACCACCTAATCGGTGTCCATGTACTTAAGTTCGTATCATTCTTAATAATAGCTCAACCAACATAACACATATTTACGATAAGCCAACCTAAACATAACCTAAACATAAAAAACCTATATCACAGTTGGATCAAGGAAGAGCTAAACTTTTTCATTGTGTGGGGACGACTGGGTGGTGGGATCACCAGAGGATCCAGCAGCAACAGTTCCTCCTTGCATGCCAAGAGGGTCATGATGAGGCTCTGCACGAGAGACACTGGGGTCATGCAATACCAAGCTACTAACTACAGATATCCCCCAAAAAAAATTAATAATAACAATTAAGACACAGCAAACTCATTACTAAAATAACTCATTACCTTCAGTCGCAGTAGAATTCATGGCACCTGCAGTCAATGGTGTAGTCCATGTAGTGCTGGACTGCAATTCTCCCTCACAATATCCTGCAGGTTAGAGAAACAGTTAAAATAATAATATTCCATAATTAGAAGAATGTCAAAAATACTATAATAATGCAGCTAAATATATCTATACCCATCATGAGCAATGCTAGGGCACTCGCTTTTCGCACTCTCCGGCCAGCACTTCCCCTTTCATTGGGCGACGTAAGCTTCTTTAAAGCTTTCAGCGCAACTTCTCGGGAACCAAGATAACGTGGCCCAATAAAAGAGAAAGTGTTGACCGGAGAATGCGAAAAGCGAGTGCCCCTAGCATTGCTCTACCCATCATATATGCTGTCCACATTTCAAGGTCCCGCAAGTCAAGTAAAACATCCATATCAAAGAATTCATTTGTTCCATCCTTTCGAAATTTAAAAGAGAGTTGAAAAGATTCAGATAAAGGGCAGTGAAGAAGGAAAACAAACAATGGTCTAGAACTTTTGAAAACATGCACATAATGTGTGGATAGGGGCAGAACCTGGCTCATTTGTGGGTGCGCAGGGCTGTGATGCAAGAGTATATTATAATAAAACCCAAAAAAAAAGGTGCATGGTTGGAACTTGGAAGGAAGTAAGGCACAGATAATCGCACCATCAAAACTTCTTCAAGCTTCTTTAATTCTTCCATGAACTCTTGTTCTTCCTTATCCCTAGAGTCTTTGAACATGTCAGCAATTCCAGGCCCCTCACAAAAGGCCTCATAATCTTTGAGTTGAAACTGCATTTACAATTCAAACAGAGTATATGAGCCCTTTTTAAAAATATAATTCAAGTAAACATCAATCATTCAAAACAATATAGATTTAATCATTAATATGAAACCATTTTTTCCCCACAAATAAACTTTTATATTGTAGAGAAATAAACTCATCCATTATTACAACACATTAAACAGATCTTAAACAGTAGAACCTCTAGAAAATTCTCAAAATAACATACAAGAAAACTGTGCCCATAACAAAACATAGAGCAGTTTCTGGAGAAAAAGTTTGCAGCAGCCCTAGGCCAGGAGAGTAAGAGGGAAGGTGAAAACTCAACTGTAAGCTCAAGGGCTCATCACCTAGTCATGGGAGTTTCCTTTTTATCTTATTTATTTTGGGAGCAGTTTCTGTCATGAGCTTCTATATTGCTCTTCTAAATTCAGTAGATTGTTTTTAGCATGTATTAAAAATAACTAATAACTATATATTGCTCAGTTATACCTTGAAGCCATAATCTATTATCTGATTGATTACCTCCACAAGATCGCACACACTAACCTCGGTTTTGCTCCCTAGTCCAAGCTCATCACCAGTGAACATCCTCAGCTCCACCTGTGGAGGTGCCATTGATGAGGTCGAGGCCTCCTTACCATGAGCAGCCTCCCTCAGTTGTATTTGTGTACCTTCATTGGTTGAGAACAGAGATCCTTGAGTAGCCAGTGCAGCCACTGACTGACCATAATTCTGGCGAGCCTCAGCCATAAACCCACCTATTGGGGGACGACTTGGAGTAGCGTAAGCAGTTGCAGGCCTCTTGCCCTGACGGGCTTCATCAAGTTCTTCCTCTCTTTTCCTCTTTAACTCCTCTGCTCGCTCAAAGGGGGTTTCCATTACTATCATATTCAAAACAAAAGAGTTAGCCCCAAAAATTAAATTAAGGCAGCAAAGTGCACTTGCAGGTTGTAGCCCCACGTGGGCAGGCAATGTGCACCAAAATCCCTTGGCCCATGCCAAGGTTCAAATTGCTGTAATGACAATTATAAAATCCCCACTTTCCCAGAGCTACTTGAATTCACCATACCTGCAAAGCTAGTTGAATTCACTATATCTCCAAAGCTCTACTTGAATACATAGCACTGACACCCTCTAGTCCTCCAGTTTGAATCATTTCAAGGTTCTGCGAGCCACTTGAATTCATGGCAGTGACCCCTTCTAGTCCCCCTGTTTGAAGCATTTCAAATCCAAGGTCCTGCAGGTTAAGAAAATGTTAAAACACTAGTGGTTCTATAATTAGCAATATCAAAAGCATAAATGCAACATAACATCTATATATACCTCGTCCAAAGTTACCAACAGCTCCTGCAAGTTAATAAATTAAAATTAAAAATAAGTTAAAATGACAATTCCATGGTATATACTAATTACAACACTATCAAAAGATAAAGCAGCAAGCTTTCTATACCTTTGAAAAAATCTGCATTTGTATATCCTGCGGTTAAGAAAAAGTTAAAACAGAAATTTCAGAAATAGAATAATGTCAACATTATTAAAAGATAATGCAGCAAAATATTCCCAACCTTGTCAAAGTATTGGTTTGCTAAATCTTCCTGGAAGTGGAATTTAAGAGGAGGAGTTGGAAAGAGTCAGATAAAGAGTTATGCAATTAATGTATTAAATACTATCATAAAAGAAAAGATGGTTAGAAGGAAGTACCTTTATAGCTTTCCCAAACTTCTCCAATTCTTCACTGAATATTCCTTTTTCCTCTTCCTGAAAATACATTAAAACAAAAAGTAGTTAAATAATAAATCAAGGGAAATGGGAGTAAAAATGCATTGTTCAATCTTGTCAACTGCATTTTTATATATATATATATATAATTACTACTGCATAAAGAAAAGTTTTGGATAAGAAACTCATGAGAAGGATCATCACAACTTTAAACAAAAGGCTTTGAACTTCTCAGTAATTTTCTCATCCTCAAAATTTCACAAACAATTCTCACCCTTAAAAACTATCACTAAATTCAACTAAATAATTTGTACTTGACAATATACAAAATTAACCTTACAAACAGTAAACAGAACTTTGCAAACTATCTCGTAAAACTCCAGAGCAAGATGCTTGGCCTCAAACACCCATCATCGGTTATTCTTACAACCTTCTTATCTCGTCTACACACAAGGACAGAAACTGAACACAGTCACTCACAGAAAACATATACATGCAACACTTTCCAGCTTCCTCTTTAACCACACAAACTACCTGATGACCTGAATTAATTCACAAATTCTGCTTTTCTTCCATTGACCATTATGGAAGATCATCTCATTTCCATCATTCCAAATCAACCACATAATAATTAACCAAGAAAACTATGCCCCAACCTTAACATTATATATACCTATCAAGCATCCCATAGGCAAAATGTAGACAACAAGCATCAACAGTATCAGTGCAAACTGCAAAACAGAGCTAAATCCCCTCCAAGAGTACAGCATCTCATCCAACAATAAAGAGACTGAGTACATTCTAGAAATAAATGGTTCATATCCTCTCCATCAACAACAAAAAGAAAAAGAAAAAAGGATAATTGAACAAAGACCTCTTTTAATCAAACCATTAGGTCTGCATTTAAATGTTGACACAATTAATGCATCTAAAAAGATAAATAAAACAAATTAAAAGAGGATAGACTCAAGATCAACGATTAATAAATTCCGCTCGATGTCTTTAGGGTTGCTGGGATTGTGGAATTAAAGGAAAAAAATCTTTGATGACGTGTAAAAATAGGTAAATCAAAGTAATTTATGTGATGAGAACCAATGGGGCACATTTTACTTGAGATCCTTGCTGAGGAGGCAGCAAAAGGCAACAAGCCATCAAACACACTTAAGCATCAATCTTTTGGTCAAGTAGCTGAAACAATAAGCTCGAAATTTGGTGTTGAATGTGTGACTACTCATGTAGAGAAACAACTAAAGACAATAAAATCTACATGTAATATTATTCCAACACTTCAGAACAAAAGTGGATTTAGATGGGATGACACACTGAAAATGATCACTGTTGACTAAGAAGTGGCAGATCAAGAAGCGACAGTACATTTATACTGCCCTTAGAGGACATAATCTCTCTCTACTAGTTGCTTTCTAAGAGCCCACAAGCTTTTGTGCAGTGCTTCATTGTACCAAAGATACTTCTTTTAATCTTAAACACTTGTTACTTTAGGAATTTTTTCCATTGGTTTTTATTTCTAAATTTTTCTTTCTACTAAACCTTACTAGCTTCTAATTGTAATGATATCAGTTACTAGAATATGATATGATTGAGTGAGTGTTTGGGATCCAGATTTTTTTTTTTATTATTATGGGAATCATGATGAACATGCTATAAAGAAAACCAAAGCTGCCTTTACTTGGTAAAGAATTGCAAATGTTAGAATGAAGCTAATTAAATAAAAATCTAGACCAAGGCCTCGAATTTAACATAGACCTACCAGTAACTATGTCTGGACTGCAAACTACTAAGCTTGGCTCTGGCATTGGCTATCATATACTGAAAAGCTAAATCATCATCAATTGAACTACTAAAAGCTTTTTATCTGATCTCATTCTGAATGATATAAGAACTCTATGAATGCTAGCTACCCTGTTTTAACCAGATTACTAGTGTTCACTAAGGCTATGCAAGGTCAATTTAAAAATCTTCCTTATGTAAGTTACAAAGCATTCTGATGGAATTTTAAAACCAATTTGATTCAATATATGCATGCTGAGGTTTTGTTAGTCACCACTCATACCATAAGGACTACTAAAGGGTCAGAGCTTAAACTTGTATCACAAAATATGCCATTCTCCAATAGACCAAAACCACCAAATAATAGAGTACGTATTTATTAATCATGACCTTTATAAATGTCCACAATCTTTTCACAGTTAAGATGCATTCCTATAGAATTATTGAGATTGAGAGAGAAAAAACATCCAAAGTTGTCAGAAGCAGGGTATTTTTATAATCATCTCCTAATAATGAAACAATTTTAGTACCATTAGCACTCCCTTTCCATTGATAGACTCATATAAAGAATTGGACATTAATTCTCCCAATCAAAGCAACAACAGAGTATAGAGCATCTCTATATAATTAAGAAAGAGAGGTTCAACACAAGATAACACCTTTAATTAGTACTATTCTCCACACATTGTACATTCTTATTTACTGCTCTATAATTAATTAGTATGGTACATATGAAAAGTGAAAACACAAGGCCATTTCCCTCAAACCAGCACCATGTATAGCCAAA